AGCAGAGAACCCGATGCGGGGCTTGATCCCAGGACCCTGAGATCATGACCTGAGTCGAAGGCAGAGGCTCAATCCACTGAGCCACCCAGGCACCTCTGAAAAAAAGATATTTTTGAGGTAAAATCAGCATGACTTGGCAGTGGATTATACCCTATTACACGAGGAGGGGTAGTGAGGAACAAGAGTTAAGAATAGCTGTCCGGGTTCTGGCTTGGGCAACACAGGACGGTGGTTCCACTAAGCAGGACAGAGCCCCATAACTAAGGTGTATAAAACTAAGATGTCTGGCTGCTTCAGTCAGAAGAGCACTCCAGATCTTGGGGATGTGAGTCTGAGCCCCACGTTGGGTGTAGAGTTTACTTAAAAAAACCAACAACTTGGGGTGCCTGGGTGGCTCAGTGGGTTAAAGCCTCTGCCTTTGGCTCAGGTCGTGATCCCAGGGTCCTGGGATAGAGCCCCACATTGGGCTCTCTGCTCAGCAGGGAGCCTGCCTCTCCCTCTCTCTCTGCCTGCCTCTCTGCCTACTTGTGATCTCTGTCGAATAAATAAATAAAATCTTAAAAAAAAAAACCCAACAACTACAAAACCCATTCTTATGAATGGATAATGCTTTTTGTAAAAATTAATTAATTTGACAGAGATCACAAGTAGGCAGAGAGGCAGGCAAGGGGAGAGAGGGGGAAGCAGGCTCCCCGCCGAGCAGAGATCCTGATGTGGGACTCGATCCCAGGACCGCGAGATCATGACCTGAGCTGAAGGCAGAGGCTTAACCTGCTGAGCCACCTGGGTGCCCCAGGGGTGGTGGGTTTTTCAGTCAGTCAGACTTGGGTTCAAATGGCAGCCCTGACACTTGCAGCAGAACTAGAAAGTGGATGAGTTGTTTCTGCTGAGCTTCCGTTTCTTCATCTCTAAAACCTGACAGTTATTACGGAGAGTGAATCAAGTTTGCAAGATAGGTCTCACTAAAATGGAAGAAGACTAAGTATGGGGCAGCAAAGAAAATCAGTTCGATTGTGTTGGATTTGCGGTGCCTGTGGGATATCCCAGTGGAGCTATCCCAATATGGAGATGGAGCCCTGGAGATATTAATATTAAAAGGCAGCTGAAGAAAGAAGGTCCAACAGAGGAGATTGTGAATGAGTGACTACACAATAGGAAGAGGGCTAGGAGACAGTGACGTCACGGAAATCACTGCTGAACCTTGGCCTCATGCTAATTGGGTTTCAGCTCTGTCCACTTCAACCCCACCCCCCTCAATTCCCACTATCTTTTTTCCAAATCCCCATTTTTACCATTGAGTCTCATGCCCATGGTCTCTCCATTCCACATCTATCACACCATACCCTTACCTCCCTTGTCCTTGTGCTGACGCCACACCTGTCGTGCACAATCCCAACTCTGGATCAATGCGACAGCCCCCTTTTCTCTGCCCTGATGCCTTTGTGTCTGGCCACTGCCAGAGAACATAACACCACTATGTCATCATGATCTCAGAGGAGTTCACAGTGCTGCCTCCTGATGTTTCCAATTGTTTCCCGGGATTGGCTGGAGAGAGCCGCTGAATTTCCCCAGGACCCTCTGGGAAGCACGCTGAAGTGATCTGTGAAAGAGAGGAGGCTGGCAGATCTGGCCAAGTCTGGCCAAGTCTGCCTAGAGGGCTTTGATGCATTCGGGGCATGGCTGGAAAGAAGAGAAACGGTCTTACCTCAGTGGAGCAATGGGCACGAGTCCCAGTGGCTAGGATCTACCTGGGAGCTAATGAAGCTGCAGTTTTAGGGTCCCTTGCTTGCCCAAATAACTTTGAAGGCCCTGTACTTCATTTTGTATTTGCTATTGTGTGTAATGTTTCCTTAAGATGCTCTCCCAAGTCGTGTAAATGGGGCCTCATCAAACCTGGACCCACCTCTGATCTGTTACCCAGCCTAAACAACAGCTTCCCACTGCAGCCACAAGGCTGTATAAGCCTGTTTGAACTCAGATGCCATCCTAGGAAGAAGGATGATGGAAAAGTCCTGAATGGACAGTTTTCTTCTCTACTGAAGTGGCATGTTCTTTATTTTTTAATCGGCAAAATATGTTGATTGTTTATTGTTTTCAATTCAACAGGCACCAAAGAGTATATAGCAAAAGACAAGTCTCCCTCTCACTAACCCATCTTTGCCCAGCAGATGTCCATACGTTACAAGATCTTGTGTCTTCTTTCAGAGGTATCAAATATATACTTTTGTTTGCTTTTCCTTTTTAAAAATTTTTCAAATTTAAAAAAAATTTTGAGTTTGTTTTTATTTAATTTTATTTTTTCAGTGTTCCAAGATTGTTTATGCACCACACCCAGTGCTCCATGTAATATGTGCCCTCCATAATACCCACCACCAGGCTCACCTAAACCCCCACCCTCCTCCCCTACAAAACCCTCAGTTTCTTTCTCAGAGTCCACAGTCTCTCATGGCTCATCTCCCCTTCCGATTTCCCCCAACGCCCTTCTCCTCTTCATCTCCCCATGTCCTCCGTGTTATTCCTTATGCTCCACAAGTAAGTGAAACCATATGATAATTGACTCTCTCTGCTTGACTTATTTCACTCAGCATAATCTCCTTCAGTCCCGTCCATGTTGCTACAAAAGTTGGGTATTCATCCTTTCTGATGGAGGCATAATACTCCATTGTTAAAATTTTTAATTTTTAGAAGAGCTTTTATTTATTTATTTGAGAGAAAGAGAGAGCATGGGGGTGGGGGGTGCACAGGGAGAGGGACAAGCAGGCTCTGCACTGAACCTGATGTGGGGCTCGGACCCATGACCCTGAGATCATGACCCAAACCGAAATCAAGATTCAGACATTCAACCAAATGAGTTACCCAGGCGCCCTCTGCTTTTCCTTTTAAAACAAATTTATAACATGCTCTACCCACTGTTAGTCACCTTGTTTTTTTTTTTTCTCATTTTACAATGCATTTTGGAGTTGATTTCATTTCAATCCCGAAAGAGGTACCTCATTCTTTTTAACAGCTGTAGACTGTTTAATTTTGAGGATGGACCATAATTTATTTATCCTATCCCCTATGGTGGACATTTGGGTTGTCTGCAGTCTTTTGCTATTGTTATCACAGATAACACTGACTGAAATGAAGCTTGATTATGTCTTGAGATAGAGACTGAACTCTTATTGAAATAATAAGTTACATCTTACACACAACTGGACACAAATAGCTTAAACATTATACTCTTTACAGTACTTAAAAGTGTTGTGAGATTTAAGTTAGATAGTATCTATAAAGGACTTAGTACATAGACTGTGCTCCACAATGGTAGTTCTTGTCCCTTTTCCTAGGGCTCACAGAATGAGATGTCTCTGTTCCTTTCCAAAGCAAATCCCCCCATCTGTGTCCCATGTCCCCCTCTTTCCCATGCCCTCATTAATCTTGATCTATCAACTGGGTCTTCTATTTCCCTTTCTACTGACCCCTTTCTCTAGCTATAAACATTAACTTATCTTCCCCCTCCTAAATAAAGCCCCCCCTTGTATTTCCTAGGATTGGGTTCTGCTGTAAGAGAGAAACCCACCCTAACAATACTTTCACGAAATCAGTGTTTCTGTCTCACATAGAGGCTGTGAGGTGGGCGATCTGAGGTTGATGTGGCAGTTGTCAGGGACTCAGGCTTCGTCTAGCTTTCCGCTCTGCAATTCCCAGAGGGTGGCCCACTTTCTCAGGTTCCAAGATGAAGTACAAACCACTGTACCCGGGGCGACTGGGTGGCCCAGTCAATTAGGTGGGTGCCTTCGGCTCGGGTCATGATCCCAGGACCCTGGGATCAAGCCTTGCGTTGGGCTCCCTGCTTGACGGGGAGTCTTCTTCTCCCTCTCCCTCTGCCTCCTGCTCCCCTTGCTTGTGCGCTCTCTCTCTCTCTCATACATAAATAAAATCTTAAAAAAAAAACCGGGGTACCTGGGTGGCTCAGTGGGTAAAGCCTCTGCCTTTGGCTTAGGTCATGATCCCAGGATCCTGGGATCGAGCCCTGCATCAGGGTCTCTGCTCAGTGGGGAGCCTGCTTCCCCCTCTCTCTCTGCCTGCCTCTCTGCCTACCTGTGATCTCTGTCTGTCAAATAAATAAATAAATAAATAAAATCTTTTAAAAAAGCCCCCACTGTACCCACATTCCAAGCAGCAAAATGGAGGAAGGGATAAGAAGAGGCAGAGGGCACATATCAACATCTTCTAAGCAATTGTGCTCCATGCTATCCCACACCGTCTTTGCTTATATCCCACTGGCTAGACAGAGCTGCAAGAGAGTGAGGAAATGCAGACTTTGTTCTAATCTAGAGGACTGTGCGGCCAGGTTAAAAACTGGTCTTCTATAAGGGGGAGAATGAATATTGGATTAGGCCATTAGCAATCTCTGTGACACCCTTGCTCACACTTTCTCCCTTCTCTTTTCCTTCATGGCTATGCTTCTCAAGAGCATCGTCTACACTCGCTGTTCTCCATTTCTCTTTCAGTTATTTTTTTGTTTTAGCCCATTGGAAAGAGGCTTACTCCTAAACTTGCTTTTCCAAGGTCACCATTAGTTCACAAGTTAATTAATTAATAACTTATTCAACACACATTTATTGAATTCCTAGTATGTGATAGGCACTTGGGCTAAGTATTGGCAAAACAGAGATAAATAAGTCATGGTTGTACTTGCCCTATAGGGCTCTAATAATTTTATGAGAGAAACAGAAAATAAAATGGATGATAAAAATACAGTGTAGCAGGGGCGCCTGGGTGACTTGGTTAAGCATCTGACTTTTGGTTTCAGCTCAGGTCATGATCTTCGGGTTGTGGGATTGAACCCTGCATCAGGTCCGTGCTCAGCGAGGAGTCTGCTTGAGATTCTCTCTCTACCTTTCCCTCTGCCCCTCACCTCTCTCTCTTTCTCTCTCTCTCTCTCAAATAAATAAATAAATCTTCCCCCCCCCCACAAGTTTCAAAAGGCTTTATTACACAGGCGGGCAGGGGGCTCAGTCCTTCTTGGCTGCCGCTTTCCTCATGGCGGCGAGGACGTTGCTCAGCCCCTCTCTCTTCCTCTTGGCACGGATGTGCGTCCCCACCCTTTTCTTGATGAACTTGAGGGCGCGCTTGTTCTTGGAGACCTTGAGCAGCTCCATGGCCCTCCGCTCGTAGGGGGCGAAGCCACACACCTCTAGCATCATGTCCTGCACGAACTTGGTGTGCTTGGTGAGGCGCCCGCGGCGGTGGCCATGCCTCAGCTTGCTCACGTTCTTGGTCACCTTGTGGCCCCTGTTGAGGCCCACGGCCATAGGGTAGTGCAGAGCCATGGCTGCTGCTTCTCAATGGCTCCGTGGCGGAAGGGCCTAAATAAATAAATCTTAAAAAAAAAAACAAAACACAGGGGCGCCTGGGTGGCTCAGTGGGTTAAAGCCTCTGCCTTCGACTCGGGTCATGATCCCAGGGTCCTGGGATCGAGCCCCGCATCGGGCTCTCTGCTTGGCAGGGAGCCTGCTTCCTCCTCTCTCTCTCTCTGCCTGCCTCTCTGCCTGCTTGTGATCTCTGCCTGTCAAATAAATAAATAAATAAAAATCTTAAAAAACAAAACAAAACAAAAAACACACAGAGTGGCAAGTGACATGACAGAGAAGGCATGAGACTATCTGGAAGCACAGAGACAGGAGGGGAGGTGTAAGTGAAGGAGATCTTAGAAAATGACACTTGAGTTTCTCTCTAAAGATAGTAGTAGTAAGCCAAGTGGATGAGGAAGTGAACGGCTTCCCAGAAGAGAGAGGATCCTGGGCAAGGATACCCAGCATTCTGGGAGTTGTGGTAGGCTGAAATTGCTAGGATGAGGGCTTTGTAGGAGGCAGATTGAAGAACACAGAGGCAGGGGAGAGCTGACGAAGGCCTTGATACATATGTATTACCACCAAGCTCCGTGGGCTTTGTGCACACATTGGGCACATCTTTAACTTTATCCTGGTGTAAGGAGCGACATGGAAACGTGTAATCAGAGGAAGGGGCTGGTTAGATTTGTGTTTGGATACGTAACTGGCTGCTGGTAGAGGGTGGAGAGTGGGGCAAGAGTAGAAGTACCAAGATCGTTAAGAGTCTACAACAGTAGCCCGAGTGAGAGATGACGGCGGCCTGGACTAAGAGAGAATGTGATGAGTTTGGAAGGTATTTACAAGGGAGAAGGGGAGGATTTCGTGGCTAGTAGCCGCACGAGTAAATGAAGAGTCAAGAATGATTTTTGTCTAACTATAGAGAACAAACTGATGGTTATCAGGAGGGAGTTGGGTTGGAGGGTGGGTGAAACAGGTGATGGGGGTTAAGGAAGTCACATACGGCGAGTCACACCAGGTGTGGTATGAAGTGTTGAATCCGTGTATTGAACACCTGAAACTAATATTACACCATAGTTTAACCTAATTAACTGAAATTTAAATAAAAACTTTTTTTTTTTTTAAAGAATGATTTTTGGCTCGGGCAGATAGGTTGATGGTGGTGGGAGTGCTATTGGGGGAAGATGAAGAGGAACAGTTTGGGTTGTGGGACAATTAGGAATTCCAATTCCGTCATGTTAAGTGTGCAATTCTTGGTAGACAAGTAAGCAAATAAGTCAACTTATAGGTAGTCGTTATACAAATCTAGACCTAGTAATATCTAAACACATGGCTAGAGATATAAATTTGGGCAATACTGGCATCTTGAAATTGAAACCTTGTGGAAGCCAGGCACTAACAAGAGAAAAGGTAGGATCAGGTCTTTAGGATTTCCAATGTTTAATGGTTCAATAGAAGAAGATGAGCCTGAGAGGGATCAGCCAGAGACATACGAGAAAAACAATGAGATTATAGTTTCAAGGAGGCCAAGAGGGAGAGGCCAAGGAAGGCACTGTTTCAAGGAGGAGGAAAGAGTTTTCAGCAGTCGAATGCATGTAAGGTGATGACTAAAAACATGTCCATTAGATTTGAAGATAATGCAGATCATTTGTGACCCTAGTGAGGCAAGTTTTGGTGGAGTTATGGGGACGGAAGCTTGACTGGAGTGGATGGAGAAGTGAGTGAGGGTGAAAAATGGAGATTTCCAGTATAGACAACACTTTTAAGAAATTTGACTGATGATCAAGAGGACAGAGCTAGGGGCCCCCGAGTGGCTCATTTGGTTGAGTGTCTGACTCTCGGTTTCAGCTCAGGTCATGATCTCAAGGTTGTGAGATCGAGCCCCGTGTTGTGTTCTGTGCTCTGTGCTCAGAGGGAGTCTGCTTGGGACTCCCTCTCTCTCATTCTCTCTCTGCCCAATCCCCCACCTAAGATAAAGAAATAAATCCTTAAGAAAAGAGGACAGAGCTGTAGTAGCAGTAGGAAGGGAAAGGAAGGATTCAGTTGAAAGGTAGCCACTGAAGATATTTAGAAATAAAATAACATTAATAGTGTAAGATTCCTGAGAAAGTGGGTGAGGTGAGATCCGTGATTCTCAGATATGGTCCCTGGACCAGTAGCATCACGATCACCTGAACTGGTTAGAGATGCAGGTTCTCAGACCTCACTTGAGACTGACTGACTCAGAAACTTTGGGGGCTGGGGCCTAGACAACAAACCTTCCAGGGGATTCTGGTGTGTACTCAAGTTTGAGAGCCACTGTACCATAGATAAAAGGAAGGATGCCTCTTTTACAGTAAGAGGAGAGAAAGTGGATCAGAAAAGTATAGATTTGGATAGACAGATCAGTTTGGTATGGGAAAGTTCATTAACTCATTCAATAAATATTTATTAAATCTCTAACATGTGCCAGGCACTAAAAATACAGACCAACAAATTCCTGACCTTATGCAATTTACACTGTAGTCAGGGGAGACACAATAAACAAGTAAACAAGCAAAATCTATTATAAGGCCCTTGGATTTTACTCTGAATGAGCAGGGAATGCATTGCTAGAATGTAAACTCCATAAAGGCAGACATTTTATCTTTTTTTTTTTTTTTCACTTCTGTGTCCCCGTGGCCTGGAATGGTGACTTGATTATGTTTGTTGAACAAGAAAATTGGAGGGCTTTGGGATAACAGGATTTGGTTAGATTTTTAAAAGCCTTGCTGTGCTGAAAACAGACTTTTGAGGTCAACAGTGGGAGGAAGGACATCAGTTACAGGCCACTGCCATATTCCAAGCAAGGACATCAGTTAGAGGCCATTGCCATATTCCATTGCAAGAGCAATTCCAAGCCATTGCCATATTCCAAGATCATGGCTTAGTACAGGGCAGTGGTGGTAGCGATAGTGAGAAGGGGTCAGATTCTGAACGTATTTTGAAAGTAGAAGCAGCAGGATCTTTTTTTTTGGATGAACTAGATGTAGGGGGGAGAGACAAAGAGGAGAGTCAGCTATGACTCGAAGGGTTTAGGCCTGAGCAGCTGGGAGGCGAGAGTTGCCATTGACTAGAGGAGGAAGGGCTATGTGAGTAGCAGGTGTGTGAGGGGAGGGATGGGTTGAAGATCAGCAGCAGAGGCAGGTTTCTTGTAAAGCTAATGATGCTTACGTCTCTCATTTACTCAAGCTCTAGCAATATGTTAGTAAGTTATTTTCTTTTTTCTTTAAGATTTTATTTATTTCTTTGACAGAGAGAGAGAGAGAAAGAGAGAGAGAGATCACAAGTAGGCAGAGAGGCAGGCAGAGGGAGAGGGGGAATCAGGCTTCCTGCTTAGCAGAGAGCCCGATGTGGGGCTCGATCCCAGGACCCTGAGATCATGACCTGAGCCTAAGGCAGAGGCTTAACCCACTGAGCCACCCAGGTGCCCCGGTAATAGTATTTAGATACAGGGCCTTTAGGGAAGTAATTAAGGTTAAATGAAATAAAAAATGTAGGGCCCTAATCCGATATAATTGATATCTTTGTAAGAGAAAGAAACACCGGAAAGCTCTCTTTCTCTCCATGGGCACACAAGAGAAAAGCCATGTGAGCACACAATGAGAAGGTGGCCTTCTAGAAGCCGGGACGAGAGGTCTCACGAGACACTAACCCTGACACTCCTTGACTTTGGACTTCTGCCCTCTAGAACTATGAGAAACTAAATGTCTATTGTTTAAGACCCCCAGTCTGTGGGCAGCAAAATGAGTCTGGAGTTCAGGAGAGAGGTCTGGCTGAAGATATAATTTTGGGAGTCATCAACGTATAGGCAGTAGGACAGTAGGTGATGTCTTGAAGCTGGATGCAGTCATCAAGGGAGTGAAGGTAGGTAAAGAGAAGAGGTTCAAGGGCAGAGCCATGGTGCTCTCTAACATTCAAAGTTGCCTTGATGTTGAGGGACCAGCAATGGAGAGTGAAGAACAGTAGCCACGAAGGGGAAAGGGAAACAGAGAGATTGTTGCATCTTTGAAACCAAGGACTAGAAGTGCGTCAAGGAGAAGAGAGTAACTGTGTCAAATGCTGCTGATAGATCCAGAAAGATGGGGACAGCACATACTGTTAGCTTGAGGGACATGAAGTGATAGCTTTGCATCTGCAAGCATGGTCATCCATTGAGAGATGGGGGCGGGGCAGAGAGTCGGGGACATGGCAAGATGGGAGGCATAAGGAGGTCGAGGAAGTCTAGAGAAAGGGAAAGCACAGACTGACCGGGGAGAAGGAGCAGGATGGCAGGGCAGCATGGAGGGCCTGTTGGGAGATGTCCCCGCAACCCTCGGAGTCCCAGCTGTGGCAGGGAGGAGGCCTGCTAAGGGTTAATAACTTTTATACATTTCTTGAAAACTAAGAACAGCAGATCCTTGTTCAGGGCCTCAGAGACAGTTTCAAGATAAGAAAGAACAGGATGCTGACAGTCCGGGAGAGGCCACTTGGACCTCAGGGGAGTGTCGCGTAGCAATGTCCAGCTGTGAGATCCTGCAGCAGGAGACTGCTGGGAGACTGCTGCTCGGTCGGGCTCTTACCCCTGCACAAGAGCCGCCCCCAAAGCAGCCCTACACGGGGCAGCGCCAGGTGATAGCTGTTGGCCTGCTGTCGCTTCCCATTTCCTGGCTGGCCTCAAGGATCATGTAGGCATGTGTCTAGTACATTGCAAGGGGAACCAGGAACGAGATCCAGATGGCCGAGCTCCGACAGGCTCAGCAATGCATTCCTTGCCTTTCTGGGGTTAACATCACCCAACGGAACATTAATCTCTAATCCTCAATGAGAACTCTTGTCCGTACTCTCCGGGTCCACTGACTGAAGGCCCAGCCTAGCGTGATGTGGTGGACAGTACCGCTATCCCCATTCGACGGAGGAGACCACTGAGGTGCGGAGGGGTCACCTGACTGGTTCAGGGGACACACCGCTAGGAAGCGGCAGGG